TGCGTGGAGCCCCGTGAATCTGCAACCCCACGTTTGTTGAACCCCTTGTGGTGAAGCCCAGGCGTGTGGAACCCCACGCTTATGAAGTCGAATGTGTGCTGGAACCCCATAAAGTGGAGCCCTATGCATGCGGAATTCCATGCTCGTGAAAACCATGTATCCAGTTCCGCATGCTTGTGAACCCCATTGGCGAATGAAACCCCACGTTTGTGGACCCCCCCCCTTGGTGCGGAACGCCACGTTTGACGTGGAACACGAGAGCGACACCCCAAATATTACCCCATGTGCGTGGAGCCCCGTGTGCGTGGACCCCCTGCGCGTGGAGCCCCATCGGGCGACAACCGTGTCGTAGACCCCCCCCACGAGTTCGCCATGCGTGGTGGACCCGTGCTTGCGAACCCGATGCACAGCAGAACCACCGGAATTTTGGGGGGCCGATGGGGTCACGGCGAAGCGTGGGACCCGACTGGGTTCTGCAGGCCCCAGCACGTGGAACCCCATGGCACGACGACGGCCCGATCCAAGTGAACAGGGCCAGCTCCTTGAGACACGAATTTGAACGCCATCGGTGGAAGCAGTGCTTGGGGAATGGCATTCGCACTTTCGCGCCGAACCTTCGCGGCGTCGTCTCCCACGTGCCAGTTTTCCCCCAAGATGTTTTTGGCGCAGCCGAATCATCATCAAGACATCCTCGGAAAGACGCTCCCTGCAACCATGCCCACTCATCGAACCGTCGCCCCTGCATAGAGCAATGTCGCAGCAACGGCCGTAGTGTTTTTGGTGGTCGGTCACCTCAGGGCACACTCGCCTATCAACTCACCTGCCAGCTAGACAGAATGTGTCCACCCTTTCCTATCTCCTGTTTCCCTAGGAGATCTGGCGGCGTAAAATTCTGGAGACGAGACACGGGCCCTCTGACCTCTCCACCCCTTCCCCGGGGACAGCACTTCATTCTGCGCTACCTCCTGACAGCCCCAGAACTTGAAGCAGCCCTCCGCGGGGCCAAACAAGTTTTAAAAAAAAGCCGCATTGTATTTTTCTTTGGGCCTGCCCACCCCCACAGATTACCAGCCTCGAACCGATCCCTATCCCAAAGATTGACACGCCAAAAGGCGATGACGATCTTAGGGATGCGCCCCCCCCAAAAAAAGGGGAACCCCTAAGATTGGCACTGTGATGAGGCGATGCCCAGCTTAGGGATAGGGATATGTTCCAGGCTGGTAAACAGAGGCAGCAAGCTGGCTGGCTACCAGGAAGCAGGAAACACACATACGGCACGCAGAACATCCGGAGGCCACGCGCGGGATACACAGGCGGGGGGCCACAACGCTGGCCCGCGCGAAGGCCGAACGCTGGGAAGACTTTTTGACGTCGCACTGCGGCAAGGGCAGCCCGCACGCGCGTCCTGGCAACCCGGGCTGCGGTGTTGCGGACTGGCTCACGTGCAAGACGGGGGGGGGGGACGACAGGCGGTCGCAGAGAGAAGAGGAGGGAAGAGAGGGCGCACGCACGCGGCGAGGCCGCGGGGGGGGCGCGCAAGGCGGCCGAGCCGCAGGGCAGCCCATGGCAGCGAGCGCGGAGCGGCGTCGCGGGCGCACCCCGGGGAGAGGCCGGCGCCCGCAGTGCAGGGCGGTGTCCAGCAAGTGGGGAGCGGTAGGAGCGGCGGGCCGCCAGGGTGGCGGGCCTGGGGGCGCGGCGGGGGGAGGGGCAGGCGGAGGCGGCGTGGGGCAGCCGCGATGGTCTGGGCGCGTGCCGGCCCTGCGCCGGTGCAGCGCGGCGGAGGCGAAGCGCGGCCGCGACGCCGGGAGGGAGCGGCGGCCCTCCTCCCCCACCTCCTCCTCCTCCTCCTCCTCCTCCTCCTCCTCCTCCTCCTCCTCCTCCTCCTCCCCTCCTCCCTCCCTCCTCCTCCTCCTCCTCCTCCTCCTCCTTCTCCTCCTCCTCCTTCCTCCTCTCCTCTCTCCTTCCTCCTCCTCCTACTCTCCTCCTCGCTCCTCCTCCTCCTCCTCTTCCTCCTCACCCCTCCTCCTCCTTCCTACATCCTCCTCCTCCTCCTCTCCTCCTCCTCCTCCTCCACATCCTCCCCCTCCTTCTTTGTTTGTTCCTTATCCTCCTCTCCCCTCCTCCTCCTCCTCCTCCTCCTCCTCCTCCCTCCTCCTCCTCCTCTATCATCATCATCATCATCATCATCATCATCATCATCATCATCATCATCATCATCATCATCATCATCATCATCATCATCATCATCATCATCATCATCATCATCATCATCATCATCATTATCCTGCCTCGCCCTCTGGCGATAGGTGGGGCGAGCGGCCAGGCAGACACTTGAAAGGCATGCGGCCACATCTTTGGCGTCGCAACCACGCGCGCGGCGGCGCAGCGCAGGTCAACTCAGGCGCGAGCGCGCGGGCCGGGCCGGCGCACGCAGCGCGGAGAAGCTGGGCCCTCCCATACGGCACTGGCAGGAACACTCGCGAGGGGGGCAGTCTTGAGGGGAGAGGGGGGGAGGGGAAAGGAGGGGGGAAAGAGAAGAGAGAGAGAGAGAGGGAAAGACATGCGGCCACATGCACCTCCAGCTCTCGCCCAAAACCCGGCCCGAAGACAGCCGCGCCGTGTGCATCCAGCATCCTGGTAGACGCGGGCAGTTCTGCGGACTCCGGCGGGGCCATGTCGCGGTCGGCGCGCAGCGCGGTCGACACGCACGGGAAGGCGGCGACGTTGTGCCTCGGATTCGGCGTGCCGCTCTCTTGGTGCTCGGGCGGCAAAGCAACTGGAATGTAAGCTCGGTTGGTGGATGCCGAAACCAAAAGCAAGAAGAAGAAGAAGAAGCAAGAAGAAGAAGAAAGAAGAAGAAGACGAAGAAGAAGACGCATCAGTAAAACGCATCCGTATACCACACAGAATGTCGGAGGCCCACTCGGACTTCTTGGTTCCAGCACCGATGCCAGAAATCCGCGCGGAGCTCCAGAGGTGTGTGTGTAATGTGTATTGTGTGTTGTGTGTTGTGTGCTGTGTGTTGTGTTTTGTGTGTTGTGTGTTGTGTATTGTGTGCTGTGTATTGTGTGTTGGTTGCTGTGTGTTGTATGCTGTGTGCTGTGTGTTGTGTGCTGTGTGTTGTGTGTTATGAATGGTGTGTTGTGTGCTGTGTGGTGTGAATGGTGTGTTGTGTGCTGTGTGTTGTGTGTGTTGTGTGTTGTGTGCTGTGTGCTGTGTGCTGTGATTTGTGTGCTGTGCGTTGTGTGTGTTGTGTGTTGTGTGTGGTGTGTGTTGTGTGCTGTGTGTTGTGGGCTGTGTGTTGTGTGTTGTGTGCTGTGAGTTGTGAGCTGTGTGTTGTGGGCTGTGTGCTGCGTGTTGTGTGTTGTGTGCTGTGTGTTGTGCGCTGGGTGTTGTGTGTTGTGTGCTGTGTGTTGGGTGCTGTGTGTTGTGTATTGTGTGTTGTGTGGGTTGTGTGTTGTGAGATGTGTGGTGTGTGGTGTGTGGTGTGTGGTGTGTGTGTGTGTGTGCGCGCCTGTGCAGGTTTGTCCGCGTCAAATGTGTAGCGTTGTCAGCGTGCGGCAGTCACGCACCCGTATTGACGGGCATGTAGCGTGACCCCTCTCTGGAGCGCTCGGGTGGAGCCCTAGGAAGCTCAACGGGGCTAATGTGACCCTGTGCTGGCCCCGTGACCCAATGGGGCTATGTGACTCCGTGTGGACCATGACCGCCGCTCCAGTGCAGGGCCCTTGTGACGCGAGCAAAATGGACGGCAGCAGTTCTTCTTCGGGTACCACTGCGAACACATGCAGGAGCTCAGTTCTCTTCAGCGTGGCCGTCGTGCACGCATCCCCCGCCCCCGACCTCCGCCTGCTGACCCTGCTCTTCCTCCTGCCCAGCCTTCTCCGCAAACTTATTATGAGCAGAGCTTCCTGTAGTATTTACCTCACCCCTCCATCCTGACCTTCTAGAACAACAAGAACTACAAAAACTGCCGCCCGTCCAGACACAGGGCACCGGGGGCGCGGCCTGAGGGCCTCGAGGACAAACTCGCGGTCTCCTCCGGGCGCGCAGCCCAGCAGGCCCCAGGGGCACGCAGGACCGACCGAGGATGAGGAGGGCAAGGCCGCCCACGGGAGAGGTCCGAGCACCTTGCCCTGCTGCTCTACGCTTCACACCACCTCTTCGGCCGAGTAGGAGGGGAGGAGGAGGAGGAGGAGGAGGAGGAGGAGGGGCCAAGAGTCCACCTCAACCCTTTACTCCTCCTCCTCCTCGTCGCACGGCCAGAGCGGGCTGGGCGTTTCGCCTGAGACCTCCTCCTCTCTTCTGACCTGGAAGCTTGGGATTTCCAGCAGGTACACGGATGGAGGACGGGGGAAATGATCATCATGTGGCTACACAGATGAGAGCGGTTGTTCACCGGGCTGGCGCTTGGGACGTTCTCAAATTGTATTGCAAGGAGTGTACCATTGCGCGACAGCTCCACTGATAGAGGACAGCTCCTCTTCAAGACTCTCTTAGGCTTGATACATGATCAGGCTTGATGACATTATCAGGCCTGCTGACCCCACACGAATCAAGGCACTTCTGTTTCAAACAAATGCCTTCGCTGGATAGTTCCGTGCGAGCGATGGCAGTACCTCAAAGCCTCTTGGCGTTCCTTGTGGCTGAAAGAGTGTAAGGCAACTCCTTGTGAAAAACAAGACTCGCGCCTTGACGGCAGCCCCAAGGAACAAATGTTGGTAGCACACACTCTGTTGTCAGCGCCTGCGTGCCTTCGAAGCTGGCCCAGAACTGCTACGACTCAAGGCGCATAAGCTGTGGCTTCGCCTCCGCACACCACGAACGCACTCTACGAGTCTGTAGTGATGGTAACGATTACGACGGTAACGGATCGGCGAGGGGCTAATCCACGGCACATCAGAGAAGCCCAGATCGGGCGCGGCGCTGATGCTGATTGCTATTGGTGGTGATGCTGATGCTGATGGTGAGGATGGTGGTGATGATGAGGATGGTGATGGTGGTACTGATGAGGGGGGAGGGGTGTTGAGGGATGCTGCTGAGGAGACCAGGGTAGAAGTGGCCCAGGACTGAATCCTCTCGGTCGCGTTCCGCGCTACCGAATACCAACATCCACACCACATGCAGTGTCCAATTGTGCCTGTTGATGGATGGTGCTTGTCTGGTGGCTGCCCTTGCGAGCTCTCTCCTGGGGTCCTCAGCTGGTTTCCCCTGTCGGCAGGGGAGGGTGAGCCGGCGATTCGCCCCGCTTACTGCCCAAAACCCGAAACAGCTGGAGCGCGCGGGCGTGCGACACCGCATGCGCTGCGGGCAACGCGCATGGACGATAGGCCCATACAGATCTCAAGAGGCTTCCTTGTGAAGCATCCCCTACCTCTCATCCCTTGGGCACCCTCAACATCATCATGTTAAGCGCATTAAACACCGCCATCGCCACCTGACGACATTACTATCACGGTCGTGACAACCATCTTGTCAGCAACAGAACACCAATGCCGCCACCACCACAAACACAACCAAAGACCTGAGCATCAGAGCACCAGTCGCATTTTAGAAGCACTGCGTCACTTCAGCATCGAAACAATAATCGACACATCAACACAAGCCCCTGTCAACACAGCATCAACTGCCACCACGATCCCACAACATGGAAGAGGCTACAACCTGCCACATCGCAGCGAGAGGTGATCGCGAGACGGCCCAACACGCCCCCAAGATGGGCCCAAGAGAGCCCAAGAGGCCACCAAGACGGCCCCACGAGGAGCCCAAGAAGGGGACCAGGAACCGAAAAGTCCCCAAGATGCCCCCAGGAAGCCCCCAGGAGGCCCCCAACAAGAGGCACCCAAGGAAGCCCCAAGAGACCCCCGAGAGGCCCCAAGAGGCGCCAACATGGCCCCCAAAGAGGCCTCAAAACTGCCTCCCAGAGGCCTCCGAGAGGCCAACCACGAGAGCCCAATCAACATCCATGAGGCCTCTGACCCACCACCCAGGCACGGCGAAGTGTTCCCACCGCCTCCGAAAACTGGCAGCCGCCCAACGGCACCGCATTGACAGCAGCATCCCGACAAACAGCAGCGGCGAGGCAACATGGGCAGACGGAATGCGCGAAGCGATTACATAAGGCAACCTCCCCGAGAGGACATGACTGGCGGGAGCCATGCTGGCAACATATTCGGGTGTGGGGGGACACCACTAGCGGACACGGGAAGCTGGTACGGACGACGGACATAAGTGCGACACCGACTACGAACATGATTGCCTGAAGTGCTGGCGGTAATGCCTGTGGCTATGGAGCTCGCGATGGCGATGAAAAGCACGGCACACAGGCGACACAGGCAACACTGTCAGTTCTATTGTCAATGGACGTTGCTGCCACTGTCAGCTTCGCCGCGCTTCGCCAGGACGAGCGCTGGCGTTCCAGACGTAGCCAATCCGCACAACGAATTGGGCATCAGACGGTGGGGACCACTTTGGAGTCCCGAAACGGTGCGGTGACAGACCGTGCGGTAACCTCGAGATCCCCCAAGACCTCACGCACAGTCCGTCAACGCACGGTTTTGGGACCTCGGATGCCCCCGTCGCCCAAGACGCCCTCGGAGAACGACCCGAGTCCCAAAACCGTGCGGTGGCCCCGAATCCCCGCCCGACTCACCGCACGGTGTGGTCACCACCCCGCTTGGGCACCCCCCGACCACGCGTGCCCTCCCCATCACCTCAGAGCATCCCGGGGATGCCGAGCGACACCTATGATCCTCTGGGCTCGGCGGGCCGAGCAGCACCTGTTGGGGAAAAAAGATGCTCCTCTGTATAGCGAAAGCGCCGCGCCCGCTACACATGCCAGGCAGCGCGCAAGAGCGGCTAGGTGGCGTCAGTCGGACAAGCAAGAGCGTCATGCATACCTAATACCAGCAAGTGAGCAACTGGAGTGTCAACTATCGAGCGGGGGAACCAAAAGGGGACGAGGCAGAGGACGAGGAGCAGCAGCGACAGCAGCGGGATAGTGCTCATGCTGCTGGCAGATCGAAACCAGCGCTCAATACGTGACCAGCGCACGGCCTTCCTGTCCTGCAGCATATTAGGTCCTCAGGCTCGTCACTCGGTTCCCAACTTGGCGCACTTCACGACAAGGCCTGAGGTCGGTGCTGATAATTCGCCAGGGATGCTATGATGCACAGGCGTCGGACAGTTTTCTTAGCAAGGACGGCCAGAGCATATGGACCCCGTGACGTTGTCTCATAGTCAAAGTTGCCTGAGACCAGAGCCATATCCTCTACTTTGCGATAGGTGTCAGACATGACATGCACAAAAACCAGCAGTCACCAGAGGAGAGAAAGAAGAGCAGGAAAAGAAGGTGATAGCAATGACGATGAAGAAGGTGAGAGGATGAAGCAGCAGCGGCATGAGAAGCAGGAGAAAAAATAGCAGATGTGGGCGAGCATAGTAGTGAAGGAGACAAACGTTTCGGAGACAGAGGGACCGGCAGAGCCCTGCAACCGCCCTGGATCCATCAACAGGTGAATTGGCGAAAAGGGTCAGACCACCTGGAAGGCATCGTCCTCAGTTGGTGGCGGATGCAGGACACCGTGTGCCCCAACAAGCACCGCGCAGAAGAAGGCAGCTTCGAATAAGACCTGACTCACAAAGCAGAGGAGAACAACGGCCGTAATGGCGCTGAGGGCCATCCAGCGCTGGGTCTTCCCGATTGCCATGCCGCCAACGTTAACTTCCCAATTCGGGTCGTCATTCTTCTTCAAGAAGGCCATCCAAATGACCGCAAGAATGCCAATCACGACCAGGCAGTGCGGATTCGTCACGATAGCAATGATCATCTGGCCCAGGAACAGCAAGGCGTAATTAATCTGGTAGTGGCTGAGATTAATATCTAGGCGCCGCTTGATGTCCCCCTCTGGCTTCGAGATCCTGAAGAACTCGCCCCATGGCCGCATCTTCTGCAGGTAATGACCGTACTTCTTCTGGTACGGCTCGATCACCTTCTTGACATCATCGAGCATACTCAGTGCTACCTCTTGGGATCTAACTGGAAAGAACTCAAGGGGAAGGCTCTGATTGCCCAGGGGGTCCGAAATCTGCAGGCACGGCGGGCCCACCCAGTAGTGATGACTGGGACGTCCCAGGCCACACGACCAATCCGATTCGAAGAAATATAGCTGCCCCCCCCCGCCCCGTCATCTTGAAGAGCTCGCCCCAAGGAGAAAGTGGCAGGCCGAGGAGGAAGCTGGGAGGATCGAGGATGAGGAGAGGGGGACGGCATAGGGAAGAGAAGACCGGAGAGAGGAGGGGGCTGGATTTATGCCAGCCGTGCCAACACGCAAACGAGAATGGGCAAGGAACTGGAGCATGCCATCTTCCCAAAGCAGTGCGTGCACTTGGGGGCTCTTGCTTCTCTTCTGGGGAGCTGGGCCCGTTTGCCTCGTCGCCGCGCTTGGGTCCGCCCGTCGCCGCCGTGCGTCGCCGCCGTCCGTCGCCGCTGCTGCTGGAACTGCTTGCCTGGTCGCCGCGCTTGCGGCCGCCCGTCGCCAACATGTCGCCGCTGTGCGTCGCCGCTGCTACTGGGCCTCACAGATTGCATCACGCAGTCTGCACCATACACACTGCGCCACGTAGATTCTCCTTTCTAAAACCAGAATAGACTCTACCCCCCTCCGGCGTTATCCGCCCCCCTTTCGGGTATGTGTACCATGTAGGATTAGAACCATATGTCCATCCGAAATACGAATTTACACTGTCCCGGAGGGGCTGGGATCGACCCCCCTGAGGTTCCCTTGTAAAAAACAATACGCGGGGACATCTTTTGTTCTAACATAACACTTGTTCACGAATCCCTTGCAAAAAACGGGACGAAGTGCACACGCGCGCGTCGTCGCGCGCGTCGTCGCGCGCGCATGCCGAAATCCTCCAAAAAACCTTCGGTGTCGGAAAGATTCGCAATCGAGTTTCCAAAAAGCATGCCAAACACACAGGGTTTCGCAAGACTGATGTGCTAAAAAAGCTTACGCGCGAGCTCTTGCGAAATCTTGA